TTCTAGACATCCTTTCTGGGGTCATATGCCATCCTCTCTCTCTCTCTCTCTCTCTCTCTCTGACCCCATCACTCTGCATTCTTTAAGACAAAGCGTCCGTATGGAGTTGTCCTCTGGAGAGGCTTATTATGCATGTTTTTTGGAACTCTGAATTTCAGTGGTTCCAAACTGCTTGAAGCAACTTCATAAATCAATACTTTTCCCCTTCAGGAAGCCAACTTCTATGTGTTGAAGACAAAAAAAACTGAGATAGAATGGAGTACAATTCTATCTCAGAATTGTACTCAATTTCCTAATATCTTGCTCTCACAAGAATGCTGGGACTTCAGTTTTCCTGTATTACTCAGCTGGTGAGATAGAGTTCCACAGACAGATATTGCCTGCTCTTTACAATAAAAGTGGGAATTTGGAGAATATGAGATGCAGGTTATATAATAACTACGACTCTCCTTCGTGTGTATCTATTTGTGAGCAGCTGAGCAGAGGAATCAACATTTATGAGCATTGAAGTTGAAAAATGGTAAATGGTCAGGTTATAATGCAAATAAAATGAAAACTACACAATCAGTGACAATTTTGTTGGAGCTTAAATTATGCAAATTAGCTCCAGTTTCTATTAGTAACAGTAATAATGAGTGATGAGCAGGATTGTTTTAGTATGACTGCATAAATTAACAAATGTAGTAGATCAGAAAACAGTCATATTCCAAGTCCAAAAATCAAAAATCCTTATTATGGTCATAGACCAGCATAAAGTTCCAAGTCCCAAGACTAAATAAATTAAAACTTAGTTTTTCCCTAAATTATTATTGAACAACAACAGAATAGATATATAATTCAACTGTAAATAAATGAATATTTCAAATAAAACTTGGTGGTGTGGCAAAGGTTATGATTCTGTGATGCTTGGGGTTTCTTCTAAGACATCTTTTCATTGTCCTCCTTGTAGTGGTGGAAGTTGTATTTTGTGTTAATTGTTATTCATATAGTTGACAAAGGGAAAGTATTGAAAGTCAACTGACCTTCTAGTCCATTGACTCTATCAGTGAGCTTTTCAATATCTTCCAAGCTTTTTTCCACCGCTTTTAGAGTTTTTAGCAATCTCTAATTTAGCAACAGTGATCAAAAAGGTAATAATGTTTTACAAAATTAAAACTGCAGAGTTGAAATGTGCTCTCATTGATTTCTACATACTGCCTTTTTTGATACCAGACATTTATTTCTTTTCTTTTGAACAGAGTCTAACCTATTTGTCCTATGTAGCAAGCAGAAGGACATTGCTACACAGTATGGTATCTATCACATTGGAAGATTAGGAGGTGAATGAGGCTTTGGTATTGGGCCTGATGTTATTTAGTCTTGTGATAATGTTGTCAGAGTCAATGCAAGGACAGAATTGGTATCTGGGCTTCTCGCCGGTTCTCTGGTCCATGTAATGTGTTTGATTTTTGTTATGGGTCCTACTGCTGATGGTGAGTAACAGTTTTAAAAAGAAATATTACAAGCTTGTAAGCATTTATGAAATATTCAAACCTAAAGTTCATTGAATTAAAATAACCTAATAACTTAGAGCTTGTTGACATCAGGTCCTGCCTTGTTAACTTTTTCCTTTCTCCTGCAAAAATAATGTCCTGGGAAAATATAATTAAGCGTAACGATGTTTTAAAATCCCACTAATCTTCTAATCTGTAGCTGCTAATATTTTATACCTACTGGGGTTAGGGATTGTTCTGTAACTGACCAGCCGAGATCACTAATTGCCACTTGAAACTGAAGAAGGAAGTTGAATAGCTTTGAAAAGTTATTTATAAAACACAGTCATGCTGGCGTGTCTTTAAAAATTGGATCAGCTTGTCTCCCCCTTCTTCTGTCTAGACAAGCTGTGTAACAACTCAATTTATTGAGATCTCTCTGGTGTGTCATTAGGCACAATTGTGCAGGCTGGCTCTAGTTTATTTGACCAGTAGAATGTGGAAACATTACTATTTTCTAGACTACATTTTCCAGAATCCCCCAGCTCACGTGGCCACTGATTGTTTTTCTTTGAGTGTATTCCCCATTTTCCGTTGCATGAATGAGTATTGCCATACTGTGACTGGCACTGAATTAATGCAGGCTAAAATGCCTCTTCTTACTTTCCTATTTATTTAATTTGCATCCTGCCTTTCTCCCGACATGGAACAAGGCAACTTACAACAAGGTTAAAACAAGATAGCAGTAAAAAAAATCTGATGATAAAGTGTTAAAAAAACTATTAAACAATTGATTAATTGGTGCTTTCAATGCGATATCCCGGCTTCTTGGTAGGGGGTTGGACTGGATGGTCCATGAGGTTTCTTCCAACTCTATGATTCTGTGATCATATGAAAACAATATACATTATTCAAACTATATTTTTAAAAAAGAAAAAGGCATAAGAATGGTAAAAATGTAGACCTCCCTCCTCTCCCTGGCAAAGACAGAGATTATTTTGCACAATCAATGAATCATGAAATGTCCGTGTACTGCTTTAATGGGACTCTGAGAAGATTGTACTGTTGTTGGCTGCTATATGCCTTCAAATCTTTTGTAGGGAAGAAATTGATTTTTTGTGTTAAAATACCCTTCCAAACAAGAAATGTGTGACATTTCAAACATAGAAAGCTGTAATGCTAGCTTGTTGCATGACTTAAAAGGTCTGCCATGAAGAAGGCACTTTGACCAGTTTGGAACAAAGTCTTAATAACTATCAGACTAAATGGAAAATTGATTTCTAGAGCTATTTTGTAGCTAGATGGAAATGGATTTAGAAACATGTACTTTCTATTGCATTGCAACTGGAAAGATTGCTTTTATAACTTACAGTGTACATTTATCTGACTCTATGAATCAGATTTACACAAGAATTACTGATAGTTGTTGGAGACAGGGGGCACGAGATGGAAATATTTGCTACCTACTCTGGTCAAGCTATTGGATAAGGGGGAAATTGATTTCTATTTTGAAATAAATTGAAAAGATGACAGGTCATACTTTGCTACAAGGTTCATTAATAACATGTAATGTAAAAGTTGTAATGGAATTAATTATATATTAATGGCTGTGTTTGTCCTATTTATCACTTATTTATTTATTTTTGACATTTACATCCCGTCCTTCTCACCCTGAAGGGGACTCAGGATGGCTTACATAAGTGGCATTATTCCATGCCCAAACAACAACAATTAAAAGCAATTAAACAAAAATTTAAAACAACAGTAAAATAATATATATTTGTGAATTAGACGACTTGTGCATAAATCCAAAGCCAGAGTCAGATAATCATATTCATCAATTTTTGAATAATAATAATAATTTTAAAAAGCAGAGGAAGTCTACAACCAGTTGAAGTATTCTTTTAATACCAAGCTACAAAAAAAATCTCAGAATGTATGCTGTAGCTCTGCAATAATGACATTTGAAAATGAGTACATAGGGTGAAACAGTGACTATTTGACTACTGCAGTCCTCCAGTTTGTTAATCTCCATCTGGCAGTAAAAAAAGTGGGCAGAGATATAATTTTATGGGGCTGGATGGATTCTTACAGTGCCAAAGTTAAGATATTTTGCAGCTTTTAAAGCCATTTCTAAAAGCAGAGATGAGCTAATGATTATTATGATATGTCCACTTCAGAGCTGACAGTGATACAGACAGGCAACTCTTGCCCAGGGTCAATTCAAATGAAGTATACATTATTTAGAATGTCTAGAACCAACTTTGCAGCTGCTCAAAATGATAAATGTGCTTTGAAAACTGTGAGATTTTCAAATAATGCATTATTTTTCTATATATGGTGGTGTTCAAAAGTAAGATCATAACTTAATATTTTTGTAGCATTTGTGGAATTTAGGAAGCTGCCTCATGTTATTTCAGAGATTTGGTGGTAGATTCCTGAAGTTTCAGGCAGATTTTTTCCCAGCTATTTGTGGATATTTTCAGGATTAAACCTGGTGCCTTCTGCACTCAAAACAGAGACATCCCTAAAGTGTCTTAAATGGAATGCGACTATGATTTACACTGTTTGTTTCCTGTAAATCAGCAACTTTGTGAAAAGTTTAAAAATTCAGACAAATCCACAATTTGGATTTAGTATCATGAGGACCGAAAGACCATATTCATGTTGATGAAAGCTTTCTTTGTTGCAGTGAAAGAGGTCCATGTGTCTTCAAGCTCCTTCTACTGAAGCATGCATGTTTAAGACTTGACATTAGAAGAAATTAATATGAATTTCTTTCAGATTCATGTTATAACTGTGGAGATTGATTTGCTATTATAGACCCACAAGACTATCTTGCGTTCTCTAGAATCCTCTCCCAAATTTTGAAGGCAACTCTTTCAGCTTAGAATGCCCGACCATACCACCAAGGGGAGTGACTGCTTACTTCCCACTTCACAAAAGTCATTTCTTGAACCGGATCAATCCTGTTTTATTGGTTTACACAAACTCTAAGAACTGTTTGCACAAACTTGTACTTAGATTATGACTTTTTTTCTCATAATAAATGTATTGGCTCCCTAGTGAAGTAAGTAGATGGGCATATATAGTATTGACAAAGTCATGTTTGAAGACACAAAATAAAAGATGACAGAATATGATCTGATCATTTCAATAGTTATCCAGTGTTTTGCTTAAGGATATTCATTGTTCAAGTCATATGATTGTTGTTAAATGTATGTTATTCATACTCCACAGGAGGAAAATTTGATTTAAATCCCTGTATATAGTCAACCCTATATATTCATGGATTCTGTCTCCATGAATTCAACTGCCCACAGCTTGAAAATAGTCATTAAAAAAAAGTAAACTTTTCTTTTAATACTTTAAATAATGGATTCCAAATGACTATATCCATTGTATATAATGGGACTTGAGAATCTATGGATTTTGGAGACAAATCCCAGTGGATACCAAGGACCCACTGTACAAGTTGAAGCATAAAACCAGAAAGTATTCACGTGCTTTTTTCTTTTCTTTTTTCAGAGTGCAAATTCACCTGCACTAGTGGTAAATGCTTGTATCTTGGCTCACTGATCTGTAACCAACAAAATGATTGTGGAGATAACAGTGATGAGGAGAATTGCCTGCTTGTGACTGAACATCCACCTCCAAGTATCTTCAGCTGTAAGTCTTTGCCTTCATGTGCTAATTCTATATTCTGCACTGAATTTTGTTCTATGTTAGGAAAAGCTGCAATGAAACCATCAAGGTGCTGCCTTTCAATATTACCAGCATACATGCTGTAGAACAAAAACACAGTCATGGTTGTTATGTTCTTTTTTCTCGTATTTCTTAGATTTGCTTTCTTTTAGCGGTTGGGTTTTTCTTCTAGCTTATGCTTTGTTTTATCTGCAAATTTGAATGGCAATAAAACTTATTATAAAAAGCTAACAGACATATTTTTATTTGCTATGAATTGTCCTGTGGTGAAAGTCAGACTACATTTTTTAAAAAATCTTACATTGATAATCATGAGTTATTGCATATGTTTATTGAACAGAGGAAAAATAATTCTTTACGATGGCACTCTATTCCTGTGACAAGAGAATTTGAATTTTGTAAACTTTCTGTGTCAACAGTGAAGTCCTGAAGGAATGTCCAGCATGATTAAGAAAACAAATAAGTTACTAATAGATTGTCCTCGATCGGAATGTCACAATTGCCTGTACATGGGGAGACTTCACATAACAAGCTATTGTGTGTGAACTCCCACTAGGATAAAATATTGTTGGATTAGTGCTTTTTGGAATTGTATGTGTGTTTAGGTTAAAGAGATCTTTTATAGTTTTAACCATTCTGATGATAGTGCCTATTATAAGACCAGGTTTTAAAATGTTTAACAATTTACTTTTCTGTTTCTCTGGTTATTTTAGTCAAAAAACCAACCCCACAAAACTAGGTCAACTGATCTAAGGGTCAGTGTAAGTACTGTACCTTAATTCTTATTTAAAAAGGAACATCCTTCTTGGAGTTGAGTAGCGAAAGTCAAGAACTTAGTTTGACCCAGAAGAACTGAAAAGAAGCATTGACTTCACTCTGTTCTCTCCACCATAGTAGCACTTCTGACCTTTATGATTGCTTGAGTAGAAGAATGGCAGCTGACCCCTGAGATGGCTCTGGCCTTGCTATCCTTAGTACAGTGGTTCTCAACCTGTGGGTCCCCAGATGTTTTGGCCTTCAGCTTCCAGTAATCTTAACAGCTGGTAAACTGGCAGGGATTTCTGGAAGCTGTAGGCCAAAACACCTGGGGACCCACAGGTTGAGAACCACTGAAGCATGTATGTGACATATGTGTTGCACTAGCTCCATCTCCACAGTCAAGATGTGTTACTTCATTCTGTAATCTATAGATTCTGACTTTTGCTACAGGATGCATTTCCAAAAGCCTTGATGGGGGTGATCTTGTTCCTTGTAGCAGAAGACTGTCCAGAGATGGGTCATTATGAAGATTTCAATAGAGCTGCATAACCAAAAATGTCTAATTGGTTAGCTTATAACATAGGAAATACGGGGTTCTCTGAAGAAAGCAATATGCAGGGGGAAGATACTGGCCTGAGGCTTGAGAAGAAGTTAAAATGTGTGTTAAGACTGATACGTTGGCAAAATGTCTGTCCAGCAGTTTTGCCATCCCTCCTTTGTATAGTTTTGGCATTTCCCTTTGAAATATATTTAAATATGGGTATCTTAAAGAATTTTTCTCCAGCAAAGGATCACCGCCTTGTCGGGGCGCTGGAGCTTGAGCACCTCAATGATGTCATGAGCGAAACCGTGAAGGGACACCCAAGACGGGACGGTTGTGGCAGAGAGGTCAGACCAAGCGTGATCCCTGGGAAGGCAATGGCAAACCACTCCAGTATCCTTGCCAAGAAAACTAAATGGACCAGTACAACCAGAGATATGTCGGTATGACATTGGAAGATGGGACTCCCAGGTCGGAAGATGGCCAAAATGCTACTGGGGAGGAGCAGAGGTTAAGTTCAACTAGCCCCAGATGTGATGACGCAGCTAGCTCAAAGCCGAAAGGAAGGCTAGCGGCCGACGGTACTGGAGGTGAACGACGAATCCGATGCTCTAAAGATCAACACACCATAGGAACCTGGAATGTAAGATCTATGAGCCAGGGCAAACTGGATGTTGTTATTGGTGAGATGTCAAGACTAAAGATAGACATTCTGGGGGTCAGCGAACTGAAATGGACTGGAATGGGCCACTTCACATCAGATGACCACCAGATCTACTACTGCGGACAAGAGGAACATCGAAGAAATGGAGTAGCCTTCATAATTAAGAAGAAATTAGCTAAAGCGGTGCTGGATACAACCCAAAAAATGACAGAATGATCTCAATTCGAGTGCAAGGAAAGCCTTTCAACATTACAGTGATCCAAATATACGCCCCAACCACAGCTGCTGAAGAAGCAGAAGTAGATCAGTTCTATGAGGATCTGCAGGAACTACTGGATAATACACCAAAAAGAGACATTATTTTCATTACAGGAGACTGGAATGCCAAGGTGGGAAGTCAAATGACAACAGGGATCACAGGCAAGCATGGTCTGGGAGAACAAAATGAAGCGGGACGCAGGCTGATAGAATTTTGCCAGGAAAACTCGCTGTGTATAACGAATACTCTCCTCCAACAACCTAAAAGACGGCTTTACACATGGACCTCACCAGACGGTCAACACCGAAATCAGATTGACTACATCCTTTGCAGCCAAAGGTGGCGGACATCCATCCAGTCGGTGAAGAACAAGACCTGGGGCTGACTGTAGCTCAGATCACGAACTTCTTACTGCCCAATTTAGAATAAAACTAAAGAGATCAGGGAAAATACACAGACCAGTTAGATATGATCTCACTAACATTCCTAGCGAATATACAGTGGAAGTGAAGAAAAGATTTGAAGGACTAGATTTAGTAAACAGAGTCCCAGAAGAACTATGGACAGAAGTCCGCGACATTGTTCAGGAGGCGGCAACAAAGTACGTCCCAAAGAAAAAGAAAACCAAGAAGGCAAAATGGTTGTCTGCTGAGACACTGGAAGTAGCCCAAGAAAGGAGGAAAGCAAAAGGAAACAGGAATAAGGGGAGATATGCCAAGTTAAATGCGCAATTCCAGAGGTTAGCCAGAAGAGATAAGGAACTATTTTTAAATAAGCAATGCATGGAAGTGGAAGAAGACAACAGAATAGGAAGGACAAGAGACCTCTTCCAGAAAATTAGAAACATTGGAGGTAAATTTCAGGCAAAAATTGGTATGATAAGAGACAAAGATGGCAGGGACCTAACAGAAGCTGAAGAGATCAAGAGAAGGTGGCGAGACTATACAGAAGATCTGTATAGGAAGGATAATAATATTGAGGATAGTTTTGACGGTGTGGTGAATGAATTAGAACCAGACATCCTGAGGAGTGAGGTTGAATGGGCCTTAAGAAGCATTGCTAACAACAAGGCAGCAGGAGAGGACGGGATCCCAGCTGAACTGTTTAAAATCTGAAAAGATGATGCTGTCAAGGTGATGCATGCCATATGCCAGCAAATATGGAAAACACAAGAATGGCCATCAGAATGGAAAAAATCAACTTATATCCCCATACCAAAAAAGGGAAATGCGAAAGACTGCTCAAACTTCCGTACAGTGGCCCTTATTTCTCATGCCAGTAAGGTAATGCTCAAGATCCTGCAAGGAAGACTCCAGCAATACATGGAGCGAGAGTTGCCAGATGTTCAAGCTGGGTTTAGAAAAGGCAGAGGAACGAGAGACCAATTGCCAATATCCGCTGGATAATGGAGAAAGGCAGGGAGTTTCAGAAAAACATCTACTTCTGCTTCATTGACTATTCTAAAGCCTTTGACTGTGTGGATCATAATAAATTGTGGCAAGTTCTTAGTGGGATGGGCATTCCAAGCCACCTTGTCTCTCTCCTGAGGAATCTGTACAAGGACCAAGTAGCAACAGTAAGAACTGACCACGGAACAACAGACTGGTTCAAGATTGGGAAAGGCGTACGGCAAGGCTGCATCCTCTTACCCAACCTTTTTAACTTGTATGCAGAACACATCATGCGATGTGCGGGGCTGGATGAATGCAAAGCTGGGGTGAAAATTGCTGGAAGAAACATTAACAACCTCAGATATGCAGATGACACCACTCTGATGGCCGAAAGCGAGGAGGAGCTGAGGAGCCTTCTAATCAAGGTGAAAGAAGAAAGCGCAAAAGCTGGGTTGCAGCTAAACGTCAAAAAAACCAAGATTATGGCAACAAGAATGATTGACAACTGGGAAATAGAGGGAGAAAACAGTGGAGGCCGTGACAGACTTTGTATTTCTAGGTGCAAAGATTACTGCAGATGCAGACTGTAGCCAGGAAATCAGAAGACGCTTACTTCTTGGGAGGAGAGCAATGTCCAATCTCGATAAAATAGTAAAGAGTAGAGACATCAGAATGGCAACAAAGATCCGCCTAGTCAAAGCCATGGTATTCCCTGTAGTAACCTACGGATGTGAGAGCTGGACCTTAGGGAAGGCTGAGCGAAGGAAGATCGATGCTTTTGAGCTGTGGTGTTGGAGGAAAGTTCTGAGAGTGCCTTGGACTGCGAGAAGATCCAACCAGTCCATCCTCCAGGAAATAAAGCCGGACTGCTCACTGGAGGGAAAGATACTAGAGACAAAGTTGAAGTACTTTGGCCACATCATGAGGAGACAGGAAAGCCTAGAGAAGACAATTATGCTGGGGAAAGTGGAAGGCAAAAGGAAGAGGGGCCGACCAAGGGCAAGATGGATGGATGGCATCCTTGAAGTGGCTGGACTGACCTTGAGGGAGCTGGGGGTGGTGACGGCCGACAGGGAGCTCTGGCGTGGGCTGGTCCATGAGGTCACGAAGAGTCGGAGACGACTGAACGAATGAACAACAACAAAGAATTTTTAAGATGAATGTGTGTTTTAGCAATGTTGTAACCTGCCTCAAGCCATGAGGAGAGGCGAACAAGAAATAAAAAAATATCATCATCATCATCATCATCATCATCATCATCATTTTACTGATACAAAACACAGTATGACACAGCAAATGAGATATACAGTATATGCTGGACTTCGTATCACTAAATTGCACGTCAAACAC